TTCTTAGAGGTTTGACCTGCCATTTCTAATTTTGGCTGATTTCACTGAAATTAAATTTAAAAAAAAAAGGGACTCATACAAACTCATAATCACCCTTCTTTCTTTTATTCTAATTCAACAATTAAAGATTAAAAAATACTAGCTGCAGGTTCCTGTATATATTTGCTTTAAAAATTATTCCCACTCTGAATTTCTCTAACTATGAATGGGAAAATGTTGTTTTGTTTATAATTGTGGGGGAAATTACAGCAATAATAATGATTACTTGTGAAAACAGCCAAATCTAACCTGCAGAAGAGGATAGTTTGGAATGTGATTTCTGGTGTGTGAATCTAATATTGTATGCTGTTTATCTGCCGAATTTATTGTATCTGGTGTACTGAATTGGTCTATCTTATAATAGTTATCTAAAGTTATAGTTAGTTTATGATGTTTTATATGTTTGTAGTATTTGTGTGACTGTAGCTCTGACTGTATGCAGAGACACAGGTGTGTGAATTTTTAAATTCTCTTTATTTCAGCTTTAATCATTACCGCAGTGCAAACAGGCAAGTTATGCAGAACGAGTCCTTTCTACATAATGCACTCATTCTAAATGACACATGTCTGGTTCCTTTTTGCGTCTAGAAAATTGAAAACGTCTCTCGTCAAAACAGGAAAATAAATCCTGGCCTTGTCTAGAAAAGCACACAAAGGGCCTATATGAAAGTTTAGTATATTCATTACCTTTTGCAGCTAAAGTTGTAATTGTACCAAGCAGAAGCTGTAAATTTTAAAGGCGTTTTGTGTTTATTAGCCTCCATGTCAAGACAGAACAAAAACAAACAAAACCACATAATTATTTGAACATTGCTTACCAGGTAAACAGCTACAAGATTGGCTACCATTTTGATGACCTCGTCTTTCTTTTGCTGTTACCTAATTAACATTTTTCCCAGATTTTTTTCCTTCGACTTTCTTCTTTTGTTCCCTCCTTTTTTCTGATATGGTTAACTTGCGGAACACAGCTCCACTAAATCTGTTATGGTGTGTGTTGAGAATGTCCTTTTTTTTTTTTTTTTTTTCCCAGACAGCATTAAGCTTTTCAAATAGACTATTATGTTCTTCGCCTAAAATTGCTTTTAAAATTTCTTTCAGGATTGTCAAGACAAACAATAGTGATCTAGTTGTTGGAAACTTAACTTGTTTAATTTAAACAACTATTTCCATCTTAGTATACCTAAATATGACGTTCCACACAGTAAGCACAAAGAGCAAAAAGGGTGAGTAGTATTCCAACTGAGGTGGTTGACAGGGTCAAAGTGCATGTAGTAGCTGGCACTCATTTTATGGCAGCATTACTGGACCAGATTTACTTAGATGACGTCAGTGGCTCTGAGCCAGTTTTTCCTTTTAAGAACCACTCTCCATGGGCCTCAGCAGTCCCTGCTGAAACTATTGAGCAGCAGCGCGTACTCTGAAATTCCCTTTCTAGATCAGGTTTAGCTCAGGACACACACATTCTGGACGTCTGCAGGAGAGCAGCTCTTCTACCACGACAGGGGGAAACTGATGCATTGATGCGATTCAGCCACCGGCACCCCATCCGATCACACATTTAATAACTGTATCATTATTCAAACTAACACAGACAAGCTCTTTCATGAGAATAATAATATTGAGCATCATTTCAGTTCAAATTTAGACACAGTTTTACATCATAGTTGTATAAGGACTAAGTCTGAAGTTACAAATCAAGTTTCTAACAGGCAGAGACTCTGAAATCCTCCACGCAAAAACAAACTATGCTAAAGCTGCAAAAACGGACCATTAGTGTACGACGTTATGTGCCAAGCAATGACACTGTTCTGTACACTTTTTTTCCAGCACACCACCTACAAAACACGCAAAATAAAAACTTGAGGTGATTCTGCACCTACCTCTTCCACTGTAGTTTTACTTAAGAAACATAACAAAGTGGAAACTATGCTCACAGATCATTTGCATCCTCACTGCCAGACCACAACACCATTCATTCACATTGATCCATCAGGGGGGTAAGAAGTGAAGAAATTAGCAAAAGCACACGGGCACATAGCTGCAGCCTCTATTCCATCAGAGAGGCGCTTCGAAAGGATGGACTTTTATTCACAGCCAGGCTTCATGCCAGCCACGCAGACACAGACATTTCTAAAAGAAAGATATTCTATGATTATCAGTTTTGTGAGTATTGTAATCTCTAATATACGTTTAGTCATGCAGGTAGTGTTAATAATTTTTTAATTGATAAAAGTGCATCAAAAGATCATATGTATGTATATGTTTTAATTTAATAATTGTCTTCTATCAATATTCTATGCAAAGACAACGAGATTTGCAGTCTGTGTACGCTATTAATACCAAGAAGAAAGAAAAAGAACTGAAATAAAACAAAATTGCCAGAGTAAATTACATCTTTGAAAAAAAAAAAAAAAGTGCTACAAAATAGTTATCTGATACAACTTCTGACCAAAATGCTGTTCTTAACAAGAGAAAGAAAGAGGTCTCACTTGGCTCCAAGAAGTAACACAATCCACTTTGTGCTTCACAAAAGCGCATTATTCTGTCCACACTTCATCACAGATAGACTACACTGTGCAGCTCTGCCCTCTGACCCGGACGACGCAGCGAGAAGAAAGCCAACCTGAACAATGAGGATAGATGTCCCTCAGCTCGAACCCTTCTCATTCAGAAATGTATCTGGATCTGCCTCCATGGACAATGATCCAACACGAAATTCAAAATATATATATATTTTAAGTATACTTTTATTCATGCATATTTGCCTAAATATTCTATTCTATTCTACGTTCTCCTGGTCATGCTTTAAGTGCATTAAAGTAGACCAAAAAAATAAGTTTCAGAGTTTTTTTTTTTTTTTTTTTCCTAAGTTTCTGAGTTGAAGTCCACAGCCAATGCAGGCACAATAAGCTGTTCTTGTACAAATGTTATGCAGGCTTCTCTCCAACAGGTCCACCAGTTGTATAATATAAAATAAAACAAAGCCATTGTTTGTTTTTTTTCCCTTCTTCTTGGTAAGCTGATTTACTGTGACATACAGTTACACCTGACAGCAGTCAAGCTGATTTCCAAACACTAATTGCAAGAATTTAGTGTTCTTTATCAGATTTTTTTTTTTTAAAGTTGCAAAAATCTGACAGGTTCAGAAAAACCCCTTGCACTCAGAGCATATCATTTAGTCTTTTGCAACTGTTCCTATTTTTCCATGTAAACATGTTTGTAATCTAAATGAAGTATTTAAAAACGGAGCTGACAGGTGACCAAATAGGTTTGCGTGATTTGATGCATCGTTCTCACCTGAACTAATAATCTATAAAAACAACTTGATTGAATCGCATCAGGTTATCAGAGCTGTGTCAGCAACAAAGGCAGAACAGATAAAGTGTGAAATCCAAAAATATGTAGGAACTCAAAAACTACCTGCCCATATTCAAAATCTCATCTAGTTTTTATGTCTGTATACATCTGCATGATTTATCCACTGATGTGTTACATCTCTTAGACTGTTGCAGAAAATAAACTGAATCCATTTTTTTTTAATCGTATGTTCTTTAGTTTGCTTAGTTAGTCTTCCCAGCAAAGTTAAGGGCAAAGGGTATGTGCTAAAAATTTTATGTAAAGGCTTGAAAAGTATTATTCGTCACATCACAACCATATGCTTATGTATTTTGTACAACAAACCAATACACAGTAGCGCATAACTGTTCCCCTTCCAGCTGGACAGTGATCCTAAATATATAAATCAAAATCACAACGAAATAGCTTAGATCAAAGCCTATTTGTGTCAGAATGGCCCAGTCAAAGTCCAGACCTAAATACAATTACTAATCTGACAGCTGTTCTCAGATGCTCCCCATCCGATCTCAATGATGTTGAACTGAGGTAAAGAAAGACAGGCAAAATATTCATTCCTAGATTTTCACAGGTGGTGGAGACGTACTGCAAAATACATGCAGCTGTAATGACAGTGAGACGTACACATCATCTATTCAGAAGAGCTTTTTTTTTGGTTGTAAAAAAAATTGAAAAAAATATTGTTTCCTTTCTACTTCAGTTTTGTACAACGTTAAGTTGGCCTATCACACAAAACATATTCAGGTTTGTGGCTGTCACCTGGCGTAATGTGAAAAAGCTCAAGGAGTAAGATAGCTTTGCAAGACATAATTTTGTATGCATGCATTTGTGTTATAATTTGATAATGCGCGTATGTTTTGCTTTCCTCCAAGATTGTTATTAAGCATTTCCCAAAAGTCAGAGAAAACAATGAGGTATAAAAACTGAAAAATTATAATTGCACCACGGTAATAATACAAAAAAGAGTAGCTAATAAAAGCTGAGCTCTATTAAAAAAGTATTTCTTTATGAAGGAGAAAAGTTTTCCCCAGAGTCCAATGTAAGTGGATGAAATCAGTGTAACGGAGCTGGATTGCAGCTGGACAGGGAGGGGGGCACTCTAGTTTTAGCTGAGCAGGCATTTCCCAAAGCAGAGAAAGGAAAAGGACAACAGTGAAGGAAACCCCAGATTAAAGCGCTATAAACTCCATATAGTCTGGTTTCAGTTCAAATAAGTCGGCACAGGGCGTTTTATAGCTTCAATAAAAGGAATAGTCGGTTGTAAAAAGGAGGGAGTTGCTGATAAATTTAGTTAAATTTTCTCTCATTAACAACAGGAAAAATCTCGAGAGATCCCATTTTACTACGGTTTCAGAATATTAAAAAAAAGGGTCACAGATTGTGCAAAGCTGTTAAACTCAGTTGCCCTGTTCAGACGAAGAGGACAGATTTGATATGAAACAATAAGGAGTTTTTCCCCACTGTTCAGTCGGTTTTGTTACTTGCAGTAACAACATGGAGAGCAACACACGGGCGGTTGAGAGATAAATCACAAGCAAGCGTTCAAAAAAAAAAACACACACACACACAGGGACACAAAACAAACAAACAAAAAAAGCGATACTTACACGGGTAAAACTTCGACGGCGATTTTAAAACAGCGCCGTCAGCCGAGCTGAAGCAACAAGTCTCCCCGCCGTGTTTCTTTCTTTCTCCGAGGTGGTCCGAAAATGCTCCCACAACTCCCGGCCGAGCCAACTACGGAGAGAAAAACAGCAACGTTTTCAACCGTCATCTTGTCCCAAAAAAAAAAAAAAAAAAGCTTCAATTCCTCTTGTGTATTTATTTTTTTTATTCGCCCTAAATCCAAAGCGAGTTTTCCCTGCAGCCTGACACGGGTCAAACGCCACCAGAGGCTTTTATAAGGGGCGTAGGATCAGGGCTTCTTTTCAAAAAATGTGAAAAATGTCAAAGATTTTCGCTGCCGTGTCAAAGCCGTGGGCTACAGCAGAGTGTTTAAAGTGAGCACCCTGTTGCAACAGCGGCCATCTATCCCCACCGAGGAAACAAACGACCAAACCTTACTTCACCAGATGGGATATTTCCTAAATACCTAAATAACATAACATTTTAATACATTGTGCAGTCACTCTAAGACACCTAAACTAACCCTCGGGAGCAGAAGTCTACAACCAGTTTGCATACCTGCAACTACAAATGAAACTTACCTCGTTATTGATATCTCATTTACAAATGTCCCTTTCTTTTGCTAATGTGGTGTTAGTGGGTATTTTGAATACTATGTCAAGTTATTCTAGTGTTTCTGGGCCAGCCAGGAAAGGTGTAGGTGAATCGCTTCGCGCACTGACAGAGATGCGAAGAATGTTCGGAATGAGAGCAGGAATGAAATGAACGCAGGGAGCGAGTTTACGCCGGGGCGGAGCGAGAGGTGGCGTCATCCCGGGCCCAGCGGCCAGCAGCCAGCCCGGGCAGTAGGCAGCAGGAGCAGCGGCGAAGCGGCAGCAGCGCGGCGGGGACTGGGAGGAGGAGGCACTAAACATCCCAGGAGCTGACGCCTTCAGGGAACAACAAAAAACTCCGAATTCTTAGCTTCGCAGAATGAAACCAAGCTGCATGCCACGGAGGCAAAGCGAAAAGAAGAACAATACAAACATTGTTTTCTCACTTTTAATCACCGCTTTACAGTTGTAAAGCTGCCCATGCACTGCAATCATTAATACGCTCTCATTTGGACATTCAATAAGGTTATAGATCTTATCTTTTTTTACAGTCAGATAATCTGAGTTGAAATTTTAATATTTAATACATTTTTTTTATGAGAATACACATTTCACCAGGTGCTGCTGAGCCAGGGATATCTACTCTGTTGAACGTTGCATTGGATAGAAATAAAATTAGTTAATTGCAACACAAAATGTGTCGAAAACACCACAGATACTCCCCCATGTCCGATGAAAAGACGCATCTTTGAAAGTAAAAACTAAATAAATAAAAAAAACTAACAATTTTTATAACACTTTCTTAAAACACAACAAACACAAAAAACTATCCAAATCCACCTGGCTCTATAAGAAAATATAAGAGCTCATTTTTTATTAACTGCAACTAATTTTTTTTTTTTTTGCTGGTGTCATTTAGCACAAACTCCATTTTAGGACTATTTTAAATGAGCTTGATTCCATTAACGAGAATGACTCCAAACACAGTGCGACAGGAAACAGTGAAAACACACAGCTCCAGTCCTGCCTGAACAAGTTGTTCATCAGAAGCCAGGGTTTTGACACCGATCCCCAAGAAGAAATGCCTGTATGAAGATGGACGACTGCTCCTGTGAGGACATCCATCAACACCGTTTAACGTATGTCTCTGCATGTTCAGGTTTAAAAGACCAGTGCTTTTCCATCCAACTATCTGCATAGTGAAGTATTTCCAAATATCAAAGCAACTAATATCATGTCACCCAGAAAAATATTGAACAGTATATTTGGTAAGACACTGAAGAAGAATGTAAAAGTGCAGCTGGAGCCAAAACTGGCAATTTGTCAACTAGTGTTGCTTAGAAGCAGTGCAGTGTTCTTAGACTTCAAGGTTCTTGTGAAGTTGTGTTGGTTCACGGTGGAACACTTTGTGATTTTTATATCTTAAAAGGTGCTGCATAAATTACATTTTATTTACTTACTATATTCACATGTGTCCAGTGTCAGAAGAGGGGACGTGTAAGAGGATCTGAGTCATTTTCAGTGTCATCGCATCCTGGAGGGACAGAATTTGCTAGATTGTTTCACCAAATGATAACTGCTAAACTGTTAAAAGAAATGAAATCTTCCTGTTTGCAGTGGCTGTATTAAATCTGATCATTCTCACAAATAGTAAAGAAGAACAGTGACTTTCTGTTTAGTCAGAAAGCGGTAGTGTGGTGTACAGTATGCTCTTGTTGTGTAAGTTGCATCAACTAATTTATGAGACCAGAGACCAATGAGTAAAAGTGAAAAATCTGTTGAGGATGTCTACTGTTGATGTCTAAATGTGTTCTTAAAGTTTTTAGTGCTCATTAAACCCAGAGTTGTTCTCGTCGTTAAGATTAAATATGGACAGGAAAATAGGAAAAAAATAATAATTTGGGGGCTGAATGTGAGTGATGACTGGCTAAGCTTAAATCGACAAAAAAAAAAAGACATCCTGGACGTCTGGTGTTTGGAGAAACTCACAGTTTTCATTTTACAATTTATTACATTTCAACTGGAGATACCCTGAACAAGTTAATTTACTTGGAGTGGACAGGTATGAACAAACTTCTCCTCTTTCAAAGGAATACGGGAACCAAACTTTTCACATTGATTACTTGTCAATAGGTTGTTCTAACTCAACTTTAAAACCCTTGTCATTATTAACTGCAGCCACTCCTGGATTGGCTGCTTTGCAACGCCAGACAACAATATGTCAAGTCCAACTGTGCAGAGGTATTTTTTTTAGCTTGTTTCAAACAGTTTTGATATGTTTTACAAAAATAACAATCTGTGAATTGGTGAGTTAATAATCTGGAGGCATGTTTCACAGAAAAATCTGCATGTAGGTGAATCTGAACTGAAGCACAGGCAATCAAACACGGCAATGACAGAAGTTAATTTAATGACTGCGTGTTAGCGTATGAACAATTCTGTTCAAACCAAATCACTTCCCCCATCAGTTATTTTTACTGAATCTCACAAACCATTAGCAATTAGTAAATTATAAAGAATGACTTAGCTGAGCAAAAACAGACCCAGATGTATTTTATATCATATAAACTAACCATTTACTGTCACACATACTTACACTTACTTTACAATATGTCATATTACCATAATTAACTTTTGTTTTAACCCCATTTCCAAACAATGAGTTATCATAGTAATAAAAAAGATAACTCTTCATTGCCTTTCATATCTGTGTGTATAACCCAACAAAATGCCTCAATTTTTACTGTGACTCTCAATATTCACTCAATTTCACACTGAGAAAAATATGTCAGAGAAATCTAATTTGAAAGCCAATTTGGGGCATCATAGATAACTACACCTGGATTATTAAATACACGCTTCACAGAACTTTACTCATCTGTTCTGAACCAGGAAAGTAGTAGTGTGTCTATTGCTCCCCCTGCCCCCCATTCCTGTTACTGGGCTTGAAAAGGCTGGTCTGTGCTGCGGCATTGCTTTGATTTGACCCTGCTCCGTCAAAAAAGGAGAAGGTAATGGTGCAATAGAATTAGTCTGATCTTGTTCACTTCACTCACATATGCCCTGCTGCTGCCACATTCTGGCCTGGTCTGGTTCAGCCTGGCCTGCAACCTCCTCTAATCAGATCGCCGTGTAAGGCCAGGTGCTCTCCTGGCTCTCCGCTTAGACTGCTCAGCCAGCCACACTGATTCACTTTATTCAGAGATAAGAGAGAGACTAGTGAGGGCCACTTACAGGTTAAACGAAAAGGAATGGGCCAGCCCACCGCTCAGCCGATGCAGCTTCTCCTCTTTCTATATATTTATGTTGCACTCGTGTTGTTTAATGTGTTTATTCTTTATGTGTCAAAGCACATAAAGAAAATGTGTTTTATGACACAATGCTACATTCACTTTTTATTTACTGATCTTACCTGGCTAATACATTTTCACATTCCTAATTACAATTTTTATTTATTTATTTATTTATTTATTTATTTATTTATTTATTTATTTATTTATTTATTTATTTATTTATTTATTTTTTAATTGTATGCAAGTCATTTAAATAGAATAGGATATTCTAACCCCAGTAATGTTTTAAAATGAAATCATGTACTGGAGAAAGCCTCCAGTTTGATGTAGGAGAGTGAACTGTAACTGATCAGCGTTTTCAGAAGTGAGCCAACTGTTGAAAATGGGCAAGCTTTGCAGGGTTTTCTTGTGAATCTGCATGGTTTCAAAAATGAAAATGAAAGCAGTCAAAGGCAGTAAACATGATTGGGCATATGCAGTAAAATACAGTGGGGATGAGAGTTTCCATGGTGACACAATAACCCAGTTTTTGTGTCCACTTTTTTCATATCAGGGTCTCTTTCCATCACCCCTTAAAGTGGCAGAATGATCTTAAAGCACTGGTTGCAGACTAAATAACGTGTGAGGAGAGCATCGTCTTATAAGCAAATATCAATCAAAACATGCTTGTGGATGTATAAGGGGAAAAAAAATAAAGTTGAAAGTAAAAACAAGATGCGCTGGCAGTAAGACTTGATCCTCTCTCAGGATGATGATGCCAAAAATTGAAAACAACAATCTGAACACTGTTACAGCTAAAAGTCTCTGAACTGCTGCACAGATAATTACTGGGTCAAAATCCAAAAGCCTCACTTTTAAACCATCTTTACTTATAGACCAGTAGTTGCTCAGAACTCTACTGAATTTAATTATCTTCCTTTTTGGATCAAAAGACCTCAGCTGCTGAATCATTCTCTAGTTTGATGGCCACAGTGCTCTGGTTTCCATGGTTATCTGCTGTGGTCAAAGGGAACACAGCCTCTGAAAGTTAAAATACTGCTATATCACTAATTGAGCTTTCTTTTAAAAGCATAGCTATACCTATTTCATTGATGCTTCTTGGCTTTGGTCACTTTAACTCATTATTTTCCTATATTACTCTGCCAAATGGCTATATGACTCAAGTCAAACATCTCAACAGATTGCGAAAGAGCAAATATATTATTTTAGTCAAAAAGCTATGAATATTGAAATGTTTAAAACATGCAACTTAAATAATTCCCAATCAGTATTTACCTTTTTTATTTTTATTGTTTTCAAAAGAGACATTAGTTTTTTAAAACCCTGTGAAGAAACAAAGGGTTTTTGTAACCATCTAACATGTTATCTGGATCCTCAATGTCTAACAGGGTGTTGTTCCAAATCTGACACTGACTATACAAAAAAGTGATTTTAATTAGGAATATGATGAACAGATGTGTATCTGCTTATTTGCAGCAAAGAAAATTAATGAAGTTTGCACTTATACACAAACTCTAGGTGAGCAACAAGGAAAGAAAAGCTTTGAATAGGATATGTGTAGTCAAAGTAAAGTCAACCAATGTCTATTTTCACGTCATTCAACTGAAGTGAAAACAGAAACAAAGCAGAATTAATAGAGATAAGAATTAAGGAACACAAATAGCAAAGCCCAAAACAAACTCAAATTACCAAAGACCTTAACACTTCAGCTACAGATGATGTATTCCAGGTTCTGATCCAAGAAAGGAGTGTCAAATCGAACAGTCTAATTGTATCAGTATTTTTGCTTCCCACACCATAAGTGTGGTCAATATCTGCTCTCTGTGTCATTCCGTTTTTATTTACCCTTAACTTAATTTCTGAAAGCAACCAGCATTTGAGGTTGGAGTACGTTACAGGTCTATAAACTTGTGACTTGTTACTTAAAGTAATTTCTTACATTTTTCGTAGACTGGCATAAAATGG